AGTATAATTCCTCAAAGTTACTAATACAGTTAATGTTAGAAGGTCAGAGGTTGAGTATAATTCCTCAAAGTTACTAATACAGTTAATGTTAGAAGGTCAGAGGTTGAGTATAATTCCTTAAAGTTACTAATACAGTTAATGCTAGAAGGTCAGAGGTTGAGTATAATTCCTCAAAGTTACTAATACAGTTAATGTTAGAAGGTCAGAGGTTGCTATACTTCTAATAGTTTCAAATACAGTTGAAAAAAGGAGTATAACTGAAATATAAATATATTATTCCGTAGAGAATATAGATTTGTTTATAGCGATTTCAATCTTGTATCGTTTGGGATAATACTTGTTATGAGGGCCGCTATTTTGAGTGTAAATCGTTAACATATCGCCAATGGGTTACTTGATGTATACTTGATCAGAGACGGAAGCACCCTTTAGGGTTGCATTATAGAGCAACGTGATCATATTACAAGAGCTGTGTTAAGATATTCACCGAAGGATGTAAAGGTGGGAAACAGCCTGCCTGCTATGATAATAAAGCTAAAGTTGTTACAGTTAATTACGCTATAAAATTAGGGCTAATGAAAGTTATGTGATCGATATATAAGTTAAAAAAGCTAATTTTGAACTACTGACCATAGGAAGAACAGACAGTCAGAAACACCCACTGTACGGCTATTTGAACCGAATAACAGGATTAAGTATCATTTTTATAAAGCATTCACAAGTAAAAGTATGTAGAGTATTGAGCATTATCATGTCTTGAACCTTGGATCTTTCGATTCCATCTCGACACGTTAATCCTTTGGTCATGACTAAGCCCAAGGAGCTTAAAAATGACTAAATGTCATGATCTTGTGACAACCTTTCCAGTGCTGTAAAGCATTCTGCTTTTAGCTTTTTTTTATAAGTCAATTTTACTTTCAAAGTTTAAACATTCCGAAGAGCTGTTAATTTCTGATTCCCAGTAAATGCGATTATCAATGTTCATATGAAGAGAACAGGATTCCGAAAATTGCTGTTGTGATTCGTAATATTCAAATGCCACTAAAGTTCACCTCAGATTCTGACTACCAAGGAACGAGGTTTCAAATGTAAATGGGTAAGACTGTTATTCAAAAAGATATTAATTACCCAAAAGTCTATTTAATTAGTGTTCGCTTACGGAGTGCAATTTTGAATTTTGAATCTCCACTAAGCTGGTCGATATTCTCGCCAATGTCATGTTTTACAGTGTTGTTAATTATGTTGTCGTCTAATTACGTGACGGCATTATGTTTATCTTGGTAATAAAAAACACATTTACCAGATTAACTTACATAAACGTTAACTAAATAGGGTAATTTTGACCTTGCACTGCCTCATCTTTCTTTTAATCCTACTATCTACCAATCTATTCCTTTAAGTTTACAAACATTTTTGGTCTAAACAATATTCATGAACATACATAGAGCTTCAAGTTATTCCCTAAATTATCATGGTTATTGGGTGCAAATGAGTGCTACCTATTGAAAATACTGTTGTCAATGTCCGAGAAGATGAGACATAACTGGAGCGCTACTTTTAACGCGTGACGAATAATTATTTGAAGCCTCTGACAAACAGCTTGTTAATTACAGTGACGACAGATTTTGATCACCGACAAATAGGATGAGCCAACCGTACCCTGACTGCACATAGACTTGCAAGAAGTGTAACGTTAAGAAATCCTTCATCCGTGTTTACTGATCCGAGAAGGGTCTTAATTCGAAAAACAAAATGGCGTGGTTAGTCATTAGTACAAAACAAGGTGTTATACATAGTTAGATGATCTGTATTAATGGGCAATATTTGAACTACGTACATTCAAGCAAATAAATGAATGGACAGATAAAGAGACAAATCTGAGTATACATACATATGTATGAAGAGAGAAAATTATAGAGGTATAAATAAGTATTTAGATACAACTTTTAATTATTTTGTACTCTTGTTGTTAGAAATTACTGGGATTTCTGTCACAGGTGGTTTAAACCCTTTTAGTAAAACACATTCTTACTTTTCTAGTTTTAAAATTTTAATACGTTCAAATGAAATTTACGTGTCATAACTTATATAGCTGAGTTGTTTTCTCTAAACACTATATCATTTTCGTAGCTTTATGTGTATTAGCTTATTATTTCGTGGGGTTTAAGATAAAAGTATTTTAAAGGTTTGACAGAATTCGGTTTTACTTACCGCCTTATCGACGCCACTTCTCATATATGAAGTGTTGTTAAAATGGCGAAAGCTGCGAGGTCCACGCGAACTGAATTGATGTCACGCTGACAGAAGTTATCGAAAAAGCAGCCCAACCGCAGCTACATACATTTCCTTCTCTGCCCGTGTTACCACTGGCTGTGTAGACCCAAGAGTTCTAAACTAACCCACTCCTTATTGTTTCAAATTTTCAACATGATCCCTCCCTCCTACCATTCTATGTTCCACACGTTAAACTTGTATCTTAACTTATACCGACGGGAATAAAATAGGCGTAAGTTTATTCCATCTTGCGAAAAAGTAAATAAAACACATGTAACAGTAACTTAGCTGCAAAGAACCAAATATAGACTGATAAGAAACAGGTGCCTAGACATGAAGAATACAGCTGATATGTAGATACAGAGATATAAGAACAATATACTAGATGGATGGATAGACAGAAACGTAGCTAAGTAGGCAGACAGCTAAATAGATAAAAACGGAGTGTCAGATAAATACTGTCAAACACATTTACAACTATAGATTCAGATACAATAAGATTTTATTTCATAACGGTGCAGCTATACACCTTTATCTGAAAGCGCTTCTATATTATAGCTACTTGATAAGGATATACAACCGATACGTTAATAAATAGGTACATACAAAATTGCTTCTGGACCCTACAAAGAAAATAATAAACGAATTATAGCTGTTCACATTCATTTACTGTTTACTTCTGTTAATATAAAACAAACAGCTTTTATGGAATTCAATATAGAGCAGTTAAAATTAGGTTGAGTTACATTATAATAGTCCTTCAAGTAAAAGGATAAAGTTGGGTAAATTTAAATTATGATACCCCTTAAAGTAACAGGATTACGGTGAGCTCGGTTACATAATAATGGTCCTTAAAGTTGAGATACATTATAATAATTTTAAAGTTGAGTTACATTATAATAGTTTTAAATTTGAGTTACATTATAATGGTTTTCAAAATTGAGGTGCATTATAATGGTCCTTAAAGTTGAGTTACATTATAATGGTTTTTCAAAGTTGAGTTATATTATAATGCTTCTTAAAGTTGAGTTACATTATAATGGTTCTTAAAATTGAGTTACATTATAATGGTTTTTAAAGTCGAGTTGCATTATAATGGTCCTTAAAGTTGAGATATATTATAATGGTTTTTAAAGTTGAGTTGCATTATAATGTTTTTAAGTTGAGTTGCATTATAATGGTCCTTAAAATATCTCAACTTTAAGGACCATTATAATGCAACTCAACTTTGAAAACCATTATAATGTAACTCAACTTTAAGGACCATTATAATGTATCTCAACTTTAAGGACCATTATAATGCAACTCGACTTTAAAACCATTATAATGTAACTCAACTCGACTTTAAAAACCATTATAATGTAACTCAACTTTAAGAACCATTATAATGTAACTCAACTTTAAGAACCATTATAATGTAACTCAACTTTAAGGACCATTATAATGTATCTCAACTTTAAGGACCATTATAATGCAACTCAACTTAAAAAACATTATAATGTAACTCAACTTTAAGAAACATTATAATGTATTTCAACTTTAAGGACATTATAATGTATCTCAACTTTAAGGACAATTCTAATGTATCTCATCCTTAAGGACCATTATAATGCAACTCAACTTAAAAAACATTATAATGCAACTCAACTTTAAGAAGCATTATAATGTATCTCAACTTTAAGGACATTATAATAAGGACATTTATATTGTATCTCAACTTTAAGGACATTATAATGTATCTCAACTTTAAGGACCATTATAATGCAACAATGTAACTCAACTTTGTAACAGTCTTTAAAGTTGAGATGCCTTATTATCCAGTGGCTCAGCGGTAAGCTTAAGGGCTTATAAATCTAAAGTCCGGTATTCAGTCCCTACAATGGGCACAGCACAGATAGCCCATTGTACAATTTTGGGTTTAACAGAAAACACACAAATAAAAGTGTAAAATAATAAATCTACTTGAACATGTCAAAAAGCGCCTCACTTTGCTTCATTCTGGCTTAGTTAGTGACTCCATTATTGGACACCAATATTGTATATAAAGGGATTAAGTCTGAGACGAGATGTTCATGAGATCAATATTGTAAGTAAAGGGATTAAGTCTGAGACGAGATGTTCATGACACCAGTATTGTAAATATAGGGATTAAGTCTGAGACGAGATGTTCATGACACCAATACTCTAAATAAAGGTGTTAAATATAAGACGAGATGTTCTTGACACAAATATTGTAAATAAAGGGATTAAGTCTGAGACGAGAGGTTCTTGACACCGATATTGTAAATAAAGGGATTAAATGTGAGACGAGATGTTCATGACACCAGTATTGTAAATGAAGGGATTAAATCTGAGACGAGATGCTCCTGACACCAATATTGTAAATAAAGGGATTAAGTCTGAGACGAGAGGCTCTTGACACCAATATTATAAATAAAGGGATTAAGTCTGAGACGAGATTTTCATAACTCCTATACTCTAAATAAAGGTGTTAAATATGAGACGAGATGTTCTTGACACCAATATTGTAAATAAAGGGATTACACCTGAGACAAGACGTTCACGATACCAATATTGTAAATAAAGGGATTAAACCTGAGACGAGATTTTCTTGACACCAATATTGTAATATTGTAAACTATATTTACTGTTCGTGTTCGGTCATATTTGTCCAATAATAACATATATATTTAGTGTTCAAAAAATAACACGTGTTTACTGTTAAGACCGTTGAGTAAGATTTTTTAATAACGTACAGTGAAGAAGATATCAAGTATGCATGTTAAGAGATATATACTTCAGAATAAATTAGATGTTTCATTTATGATTGTTACTTAACATTTAAAAACATTTTAAAATCAGACATGTTCAATTAAGTTAGGTTTATCCAGTTATAATTTATATTTTCTGTTTCATCAAATGCAGATTTTTTTCAGACTGAATCTGTAGTAAGGTGTACTATTTTACTGTTTAGTTAAGTGTTTCAAGAATTAAGAGCCCAAGGATGGCACAGTAGTTTGTGTATTGGACTGAAAATCTGAGAGGCTCGTGTTCGAGTAACGGTGCTACAGTAAACACGCTTTGCACTTTCAGCTCTTGGTGCGTTATAAGAGTGATAGTTAATCCTGCAATTCCGATAAACGTGTAGCCGCTCTTCACACGAAGGACCGAAGAGTTTGAAATAGGTAATCATCAGGCAGTATCTTAATATCTTTTTGTTGTGGTTTTGGGGAGGAATTTGTTGTGTGTTGTGTTATTACTGTCTATGACCCATCATTAAAAGTTGCAATCAAATGTGGGCACTACTATGAAAAAGTGATTGTTAAAAATAAAATATTTTCTAGTTTTATAAAAAATAATAATAATTTCATTGTGAGATTACATGTCCTTTCAAAGGCTCAACATTTTAATTATTGAAGTACAAAATCTCGGTGGTCAGGGTAAGTTTGCAGTCTTACAATGTAAAATCCGGGGTTTGATTAACCGTGGTGAACAGAGCGCAGATAGCCCATTGTAGAGCTTTGCGCTAAAAATGTGCAAACAAACAAATTAATTAAATTCGTCGCCTCTCTAATAACGTACAATTTAGGATATTAAAGAGCCTTTTAAAAGACCAACAAATGTTTCACTCAATGAAATTTGGTCGCTGTTCCATGCATTCGAAAACACATAAAGTCCCATAAAGAATACAAAATATTTTACTATTACGTTTCGTTTTAACAGAGCAATTTTTCACGCTCGAATACGCTGATTTCAACATTTATTTCACTGACGATAAAAATTATTAAAAAAATGAACATACAGTCGTCACAAAATTTTTAAAGATTGCATATTCATTTGGTGGGAGTAAACATTTTCGATAAACCATTTTTTTTAGTATTGTGTTCATTTTCATGTACAGGGGCTCTGTCGTACTTAATGAAAATGATAAGCATATGTTAAGGCGATGGAACTTGTTTGGCATCTATATATTTTGTACCCGACAAATTTCTAACAGAGCAATGCCGCCACGCTACGGTTATATTTATTCTTACAGGAATATGTTACAGATACTTCTGAGAAAGAATATTTATATAACAAAATTGTTTTGTTTGTTTGAAGTTAAGCACAAAGCTACACAATGGGCTATCTGTGCTCTTCCCACCACGGGTATCGAAACCCAATTTATAGCGTTGTAAGCCCGCAGACATACCACTGTGCCACTGGAGAGCACGAAATTGTTTAACGATACAGAGCTAACTAATACGACATGTAAAAGAAGGAAACCCTTAACGTTCTCTACAGAAACAAAAACGAAATTACATTTCAAATCATTCGAAGTGACGGTCAATCCCACTATTCGTTGGTAAAAGAGTAGCCCAAGAGTTGGCGGTGGGTGGTGATGACTAGCTGCCTTCCCTCTAGTCTTACACTGCTAAATTAGGGACGGCTAGCGCAGATAGCCCTCGTGTAGCTTTGCGCGAAATTCCAAAACAAACAAACAAACAATCATTCGAAGTAATGTTTTCAATGCGTGAAGTTACGAAAAAAGAACATTTCAACCCAAAAGAGCATTGCGATGAAGATGGCCATACCTCTTGGAATCATTAAAGTGATATTATACAAGAATTTGAAATTGGTCAAAACGAGTGTGTTACAATGGTTAGAGTATTAGGGAATCGTGCGTCACCATTGTCGTCAGGTTACTCACAGTTGACAAAGAAGAAAGTAGTCCCAAGGGCAGCAAGGGCCTGGAACATATTTTGTTTTCATAAAATGAGATTAACTCTCATTACACACATACGTTACAGTAGTCCTTGAGGCGAATTGGGAAACAATATTTATTTTTCAGTTCTTTCAATGCAAATTTTATTTTGCACGTGAGAACTATAATACAAGAAACAGATGGAACGGTACCGGTTTCATGACTCAGAGTAATTTCACAGCCGTAAGTTAAAAGTACACATTAATCTTCTCCGCGGAGATTCTATGATGCCAACATTTCAGAAATATCTACACATGTAGATAACGTTTTATTTTTTAGGAGTGTGTACTCTCATGTTATTGGCGCTATAGAAACTCTGTACGCAGTTAATCGGAAAGGTAGACGTTAAAATTATACCAAATTTTTATGTCTATCGAATTTTTTTGCGTTTTAATAAACATTTGTACAGCTTATCACTGCAGTGATAAAACACAAGTTTAAGTAAGTTTAGTGAAACGTGTCTTGTCGTGATCATACTCCTAGGACTAATATATAAATGACAATACTGACAAGACTGAGTTTGTTTTAATAAACATTTGTAGGCATGTAATATTTCAGTAACGACGAGTAGAAGCGTAAAAGGATACATCTGTATGATTGTAGCTCTTTTTTTTTCACTCGTACTATCAATTTTTATCGTTTAATCAAAGTAACTTAGTATCTTCGCCTAGGAGAAAGAAAACAGCTTGGCTTGTTTTGAATCTCGCACAAAGTTACACGAGGGCTGTCTGCACTAGACGTCCCTAATTTAGTGCTGGTAGGTTAGAGGGAAGGCAATTTTCAATACCATCCACCGTCAACTCTTGGGCTACTCTTACCAACAAATAGGGGGATTGACCGTCACTTTATAACGTCCTCACGACTGAAAAAGCTAGAATGTGTTCGGTGACTGGGATTCAAACCCGCAACTTTGGAGTTGAGTACCTTAACCACCAGGCCATGCCAGTTCGAAAGAAAACTGACAACTCCAACCCACACAAGCAGGTGAGAGGGATTACCTGGACTACAGCTGTCTTGTCTTAGCTAATCACGTTTATCAGAAAGTTTCGAATGATTAAAGATATCTATAAACGTTTATTCAGCTACAATGTCCACCTAGAAGAAGTCCGACCAATTTTTTACCTCAATTCTTTTAGTGTATCATTTGATCAAACAACACTAACAGAACAGGCAAAGATGTAATTTATTACAGTTTTGATCCATCATTCATCCTAGCGTGTTAGGTAGGCACTAAAACATTAAAGGTATGCTTGATCTGTAGCGTGAGAACATCAGCAACTGCATTAACTTTTACATTCAGTATGATTTGAAGTAAGTTTAAAGCATATCTGTAACTATGAGCTATAGTTGTTTTTATACGTTTATTTTGAATAATTAATTATTGTTGGAACCCTATCTGTTGTTCAAAAAGACATTAAGACGAAAATTAGAAAAAAAGGAATTTGTGAATAATTGAAAATATTAAAGAATGTTTATTAGTAAAACAGGGTCATTAATCTTAATTCTAGAACAACAAACACGAAATACGTTTAAAGTCTGTTTGTAGGATCTTGTTGTTGTTTTTTTTTGCAATATGCTTATCTCAAATCCATGTGTGACCGAAAAACAATACGAGTGAACTTTACATATCCCTGGAGTATAAATGAATTAATCCATATCTATGGGTTAATTTTGTACTTTCTGACAGAGAACGTTAAATGCAAATTCTGCATATTTATTAGAAAGTCTATTATATAACTTGGTTAGCGCTAGAAAGCCCGAAAACTTATGTAATAACAGTGTTTAGAAGTTTCTAAAGTTTTCTCGTGCATAAACATTGTGTTTCGTGAGAATCAACGTGACTTTGTTTTGTTCATAGTTCGACCAACTACTTGTACTTCGTTAAAGAGCTTACAACAATTGCTAGTGTGACAAGAAAACAGAAACTTTACTGCACTATAATGGGAAGAGGAGATAACTGCTCGTTTAAAATCTGCCTACACACTTAAGAAAACAATAAGTTTACTGAACTATAATAGGATGAGGAGATAGCTGTTCGTTTAAAATCTGCCTACAAAATTAAGAAAACAATACGAGGGAACTTTACATATCCTTGGTCACACATATTTAAAATCTGCCTACACACTTAAGAAAACAATAATTTTACTATATACATAAAATATATCACTGAAGTTTAATTTTTAATCGAGCAATCTAAAAGCTGAGTTATATATTGTTAAGAAAAAACAGAAACAAAAGAAACATATAAGCGTAAGTAATTAAAAAAGATTAAAAACACTTTTTATGGTGACTTTACTTTGAACAATATACCATTAAGATGTACTATTATTAACATTGAAATCATATGCTTAAAGGAACAAGTAGATGTACAGATAATACGTTCGACTGCTAAAACCCCCCAGTGGCACAGCGGTATGTCTGCGGACTTCCAACGCTAGAAACCTGGTTTCGATACCCGTGGTGGGCAGAGCATAGATAGTCCATTGTGTAGCTTTGTGCTTAATTACAAACAAACAAACAATCGTCCGAACTCGGAGATAGTAAAAATCGATTTAAATAACTTTCTCTATGATCTTTTGGTTGTTGAATGTTCAGCTACAAATATAGACAATGTTATGAATATATCCATAGGTTAGAAGTAAAGCACTATATAAATGTTTTTATTTCCTCTGTTTTGGTTTGTTTTCATTCATGAAGTTTCGATTGTTAGTAAATCTTGTGAATGAGAAAAATCTCCTTAGAATGTGTTAATTTATACTAATCAGATAAAGAACTTTCAGAAAATTTTATCTTTTATGTATTATTTACTCTGAGACGCTATTTTTATTTTAGTCTGGTTCAAAGGAAATTCTTTATTTAATACCTTAATTACTTAATTGTTTATTTACTTAATTTTTTTGAAATATATTTTAACTAATAAAGATTAAACTGACTTAGAGACAAAGGAAATATATGTATCTATGATGTTCGTAGTCAAAATTTCAACAGCAAATTTCAGTTTGTCTTCTTGTATTTTTTAATTGTTAAAACGATAAAGGTAAAATACATGTAATCTCATTAGGATGTCGAACATGTGTTTTATAATAGTTTCGTATGCGACAATGAATGTAATCTTTGTGTTCAGTATAATAACAGAATAACAGTAATTATACCAAGGGAACAGCTAATAAAAATAGCATCAGGAAGAACACATATGCTATCAGATCGCTACTAATTCCGTCCATGAACAAATGAAGTCTTGTCAATCAAATCAAATTTGAGAAGTAAAGAAAGATATGACAAACATTGAAATCCCATTTCAGAAGTGTTAATGCATACAAGAAATGACAAAAATACTAATCTCATCAAGAGAGTAAGTACCCTTACTATTTTTGAGTGAAATAAGGGGATATATATGGTGGAAGATATCAAACTAATCAACGTAAAAAAGATCGTTTGAATAACGGTTTTTTTTCTTGTTAGCGTAAGAAAATATATGAAGAATTTTAAAGCGCTACCTACATAATATTCTCTTCAACATTTCTATCCTCTTGCTGAGTTGACAGAATAAAATAATGAATTTCATAATTAACCTAATCTTTAGCAAGCTCAAAGATTTATTCTATTTCGTAATGAGAAAAGTTTGCAATTATAACATGTAAGGTCTTTTTACAGCGACCATACGTCAAACGAGACGTTCTATAGTATTGAAGAGAAGTCCACGTTTCGCTCAACTATTGAAACAAGCAAGTTGAGCACACGAAATCCCTTATTTAGTTAATCGCTTTTCTTACTTAAAACATGAAAATTGATTCATTAGTAAAATTCTCTTAATGAGGCTGGTACTCTCTGTAAACAGTTAGATAAAGTTTATTGTTATGTTTATGTTGTTGCTGTACGTTATTACCTCATTATTATTGCACTAATATGTACTAATATAAATGAACAACCAGCGCCCTAGTAAACACACAGTGGTAGTGAAACACTATAGTTTGTTTGCGTGTTTCAGTAGTTTTGCTCAAAGAGCTGCACAAAGGGCTATCTGCGCAGAGGGACGGCAGCTAGTCAACAGCACCCACCGCCAACTCTTGAAATGAACTTATCTAATATAGAGTAGAGGGATTTCATCGTCGCTACTATAGCGCATTCACGAACTCAAAGTGCTGTCCGCGTATCTTCAAACTCCAGTTTGATCCAGAAACTAATTGCAAAATTCTACATATCTGTGGTAAAGGTAAAAAAACTAAACAGTCTGAAAATTTTAGAAATGAATAGAAGTCTAAAACCAAATCCAGAAAAAGTTCTAAATGACCAAACCAATTTAAACTCCTCCCCACTTCTTACCCCATTTATCTCTAGGTGAATGTCAGGGTCACTTCCGGTTCTTTGTTTAAACATATATATATATATATATAAACACTGTTACAAAACATATCAGTCTGTACCTGATGATGCTTTTACTGGCAAAACCATGGTCGTAATAAATGATGTATTTGTGAAATGTACAACTGTCTAGTTTTCCTAAATTCTGTAATTATGGAGTTTCAACAAGTACTGACAGTTTCAAGCATCAGTTATGTAAGTTCACCTCCTTTTTTGGGGGTTAAAGACTACTTAATGGAGTTAATTTTAGATGCGCAACTTTCGCCACTGTAAATGGAATAGTTCTTGTAATGAGCACTGTTTGTAATCAGAAGATATATTTTATTACCTTTTTACATACACACACACACAGACACATATATATATATATATATATATATGTGTGTGTGTATATCTGTGTAATGCTACAATGATTTAGTATTAAAGAGGGAGCCTCAAAAAGAAAATATTGTCCATCCAAATAAAATATAGTTCATGATCATGTAATGTTTATTGCTAGACAATGTTATTTAAGCCTAATGTAAGATTAACCAGAGACGATTCATGTAGGCCTAAATTTAGATTAAATCGGATTGGTTTATTCAGGATTAAAGTTTTTATCTTTTTGCACTATCTACTTTGCTGCAATGTTTATGTAAAAACATTAGGAAATAAATATGTCGTAATACATAAATAAGATATAAATAAATCTTTATCATCTGATATAAAAACAAAATAAACACTTAGAGGGACACTGGGATATCCAGCGGGACTTTTACTTGAGCTAGAACAACGCCTGGGAACTTTAACAAAATCCAATACAATAACACATATCGTGCGAGTAAATCGGCCGTCGACTAATAAGTAAAATCTATGAGGATCCAAATGGTTGTCAGGGTCTAGAGAGTTAAACTGTTACTCAAAACGGAGTAAAACTACCTGATGATTAGTACAAAAGCGAACAGTCTAATAAAGATGACACAGACAGTAAATAAGTTAAACTTTCATAAATGATATAAGTTTATACCGTAAACATTATCTACATATGCAGTTTGCATGTTTTAAATCTAGGAATCTATTATATACAGATCAAGTACAACTATTTGACATTTCCAGAGAAATATTCGTGGAATACTAAACGTAATCAGGTTTTCAAACTATTGTATTTTACTAAGTACGTTTCTGTAACGTTATCATGAAATGGATACTAAATAAGCTACTTAAACCTACAACATGCAACCATATTGAACAGCTACATGACATTAATTATGCTTTAGATGCTTTAGCTTCTCGTTCTTTAAATGGTCAATCACTCTGTCAAACATAGAAAACGTTTAACGCCACGACGCCCTCTAACGGGGGGAAGGAAGCTATTAGTACCCTTGCGTTGTTCATTTTATATAAAGTCGGATTGCGCATGTAGTTAGCATACCTGGACTGTGAATCCGAGGGTTCACGATTCTAGACCTGTTGCCACAAAAACATTCCGCACCTTGCAGTCATGGGTTCTATAAGAGTGAAGGAGTAACAAAGTAATCCCATTATTCAATCAGACAAGAGTAGCCCAAAAGCCGGCCCATCAAAGCTATTGACTATCAGTTTTCCCCGGGGGTATATCATTTCAAAAGAGACGGCTATGTGTAATTAGCCCTTTGTGCACTTTGTGCGGAAATTTTGAAGAAAATAAACAGACACTCGTTCACCAGTTCAAACAAAAGTTGCACCTTTTTTCAGCAACCGCTTAAAAGTTCTCCGAGTCTGAAAAGCTAAATTCACCAACTGCAACCAAAAACACAAAATAAAAAGGCAACTTTGAGTTCTGTGTTTATGTTCTAAGCTTCCAATGCCACTCCTCCTCCGAAGTTACAAATATGAATTAATCTGGTACGTGGTACTTGTGTTTCAGCAATGAACAATGTTTCTCATTGAGGACTTTAAGTACTTAGCTATAAGGCGACTAGATGAAGAACACCCTAAACTGAAAAGTTAAAAGTTGCAACTTCGTTGTAAAGCATGTTTCTTAATATTGTAAAGTTCATTTTCAAATATTGTAAAGTACATTTTTTACTGTTATGCACATCATTTTATGATACAAAATTGCAGCAAAATAATCAGAGTAATTGATTTATTAGTTTACTTACATTTTGGGTAAGCGTATTTAGCACTTTTAATCGAATAAGTGCCTCTCCTTTCACTTGTTGGTTCAACGGTACGTTTTGGGTTTTATAACGCCAAAATTCGAGGTTCTACAAAAACAAGTGAATAAAACGTAAATGAAATAAGTACCTCGTTAGACAAGGAAGTAGGTTCATAAAAAAGTAAGACCTTTTCTGAAGTTACTATAATTCAATTTCTTGTGTCTCAAGTATTTATGTGTGAAGATGAGCCAAGCATCATTTCACGTTACACAGCTGCATGCTTCTACAGGTTTTCGAAGCTGATCGCCTTGGAGACATGTAGGGTTGGTTCCGTATCGACTGTTCAGGCCTACTAAGTGATAGACTACGCTAAGTTCGAGCTGTGAAGGATGATGTATATTAACCGTCGATTTGAAACGCATCTAATGTTTCAGTACTATGGTTCTGACATGCAATATATGAGCCACCGTTTCAGTGTGTGTGTGTATTCGTGGCAGAGTTTGACGTGAATTCTGGAGTAGAAATATGGTCTCAATAAATATAAGAAATGTTCAGGAATAAAACACATTTCCGCGCAATGGTCCATAAATGATCACAACTTCAGAAAAATTTATCCAGTTCTTAATTATTATAGAACCCCGCCAACAAAGAGAATGAAGTCTTTAAAGCTTCTCTTTCAGTTACAGAATAAGTGCCATGATACCAGACAACGATACATTACAAAACAAAGCAGTCCTTTGTGTATTCAACACATAATATACAGCAGCATCTGCAAAACGGTCCACACTTATGCATTACATTCTGTTATCTGTCTTGGAACACTCTTATGAAAAGGCACTAAATTTGATTTCATGATAATCTCCGTACTGTTAGAGAAAGAACAGGATAGCTCAAAATATATACACCTATTCAAAATACAATAACGTTTTTTTCGGGTGGTTATATCTTACATTCTATTTTCTTTTATATCATTTATAATATAGATAGTGAAAAATGTTTATAAAAATGTGTGGTGTTTTTGAATGACAATATAACTCATAAGCAGGATTGTATACAGTGGCCCAAAACGTTCTAAAAATATCACTTTAGTCATTAGTTTGGCATAATTTCAATATTCAAAACTTATCGTGTCTTCAGTCATTAAGTGTGTTTTTATTCACAGAATAAATATTTTTTTTATAATCTCTGAAGTAAACTTACATATTGATGGGGAGGGGGAAACCACAGTTAGTAGAACAAAGTGTCAGAAGTCTTGATAGTAGATAAACTAGATTCGACACTTTCGTTCTTTCTTTTCATTCTCACGTTGTCAACGTTTATTTCGTGGTCTTCACGGCATGCGTGTACGTCATTCACTATAGGTCTACAGAACAGCTGAATAAAAAAATCTAGATATCCATCCATCCATAGTTTTCATATCAGTAAAACTATTTTCAATATATTATCTGAGTTTTACCTCTAGGTGTCGCGAGAGCTGAGTCATACTCTAGAACCCCTGAAAATACTACGGCGATCAGAGTTCGGAAAGTAGATATAAAGACAAAGGAGAACAACGAAATGGCTGTCAAACTCTTAAAAATTGTAATATGATTAAAGTAAGGGACTTTAGAATCCCTTTCTTATACACCCAACGACCCCTGAACGTTTTGTGTTGATCAGAGGTCAGGAAGTTGGAAACGTTTCGTCACAGACAAGCACAAGCCGCTCTATAGTATAGATAATTAATACGTTAGTAAGCCGCTCTACAGTATAGATAAATAATACGTTAATAATAATCACATTTTGGAAATCAATCTTCCTTTTAGCTCTGAGTATAAAGTTACTTAGCAATTCCTAGTACTCCGAATACAGTGCAACCAAAAACACAAGCAAATCTCACTGTTAATAGACACATAATTCACCAAACATATATATTTTATTCATTTGAAAATTTCATTTCAACGAAGATTGTAAACACCTCTACTCAGAGTTTGATATCAGGACATGCTGAAGGTATTCAAAAACGAGATTCGATCTCCCTTAGGTGACTTATAACGATAAAAATCAGGGTTCAATACCCATAGTGGGTACTGTGCAGGTGGCCCATTGTGCACTTTTGCGCTTAATAACAAACAAACCCTAATTTTCTTTTCTCTATGATTCCAAATTGTATAAGTTGATGTATGTTGACCCCCAATATATCCACATTTTGTTTTCAGTTTATAGAAGCACAGGTCTCTTACTAACGGGTCCTCATAGTTCTGTAACAAGTTTATCGTCACGCTTGATGTTCAAAACGGTAATATTATACATGAATAGGAGAACTGTGTTTCCGCAGAACAGGGTAATCAGTTTGTTCATGTAACAGTAAAATTAAATTATCCCGATACACAAACATACGTTTTCTTTAAGAGAACAACAAACAGTATATATATGAGTTGAATTTCAGCATGTAACAGCTTGTTACCAAGAGCGGAACCTCTACATGTAAATAATATACTACGTTATAGAGCTGATTAGAACCAAGAACATACCAAACGTGCGTTTAATTGGAACAAAGATAACTTCGGTGCAGATTTACAAATGACTTCCACTGAAGAACTCGTAAGCGGCACTAAAAACATAAAAGGAGATACACGATATTTAGAGAACTTCTAGTGGCATGAGCCTAATGTCTTTTATTAAATAATTTTTTTAACTAAGGTGTTTTGTTTAACATATTCAATTCACTTGGCTTTTTTTTTGTTCAACTCCATGAATGTGAGAGGATTCTTGACATAAGTTACTCCTTTCTTCTCCTGATAAATATTTCATGAATCAGGTTCCTTCGCTGCTCCTTTTTTCGTCTTTATTCTCCTATACATGATAAGCAGCTTTATACAATGAAGAGAATGAGTTACAATAGAAATTCTAATTTTAGATTAAAAAAAACATCTTGTCAAAAATGTCACGATCAGCATTATGTGGAAGAAACAGAATGGTTAAAGAAACACTCACCTAAGGTTCATTTACGTCATTATAAAGTGGAAAATTCATTAAGCGTAAGATTTATTGTTACGAAAGTTTTGTTTCTATACCTAATTGTAATTTCTAATGCTCTACCAGGCGGCGTTAAAACACAGTTTATATAAAATAGTGACTTATTGTGTTTTATTTTCTAAGTTGTGGAATTTAATAATTTATTGTGATAAAAAATGAAGCTCAAAAAAACGAAGCTCAAAACTGTAGTTAGCGTTTAGTTTTTAACTAAGTTGTGTAGTTTAAGAATTTATTGTGATAAAAAATGTCCTTAAAGGAGGTAGTTTCAGATGAAACGAAGCTCAAAACTATAGTTAATTTTGATCAACCTTATGAACAGTAGGCCAAAAAAGTCTGTGAAATAAATATGTATTTTAAATTTTCAAAGCGAAACATCATCAAAATTAGGATGTAACTAAACCGTCCTTCCTTTCGAGTGCTTGATAATCTACGAGAACTGACGTTTATATCTCATGTTTAGTTTATGTATAAGGCAACATAATCCGCCTCTTCAGCTACACACTTCTATATCGATCCATTACTATCAGCTGGTCTCGGTGATTTCTATGCTTCGTTAAATCGAACGTGGTTATATCTGTATCTATTCAAGCGACTGCTAGATGCTATTGAAGGGTTCCAAGCATATTGACATTTAACAAATAAAAGTAATAGGTATTATAAGTACGATGTATATGTATATTGGTATCAGTGACTCTTTCTGTCTCTCTCTCTATATCGTATGTAATTCATGCAGTGACAGCCTATGTTTTCCACAGGGAATTAATGAATGTTGTAATACGATTACTAGACTAGCTGTGACTTTTGCTGCTGCGAGCTGCGGTTTTTGACAATTCACACACACACACACACAAAAATAACCGTCAAAAAGAGACACAGAAAGTTTTCGGAGATTGCCCTCATAAAAGGAATCATGCTGTAATTCAGGCTGTGGCCGAGTATATACCGTCCACGATCATTCACATTATACGTAATATCAGTCAGCAGGGTCAACTTAAACAGATGCTATTCGGCTATGAGGCTTAAGAATTCATAATAATATCAGTTAACGATGTTTGTGGCTATTGTTTATGATATGAAGGATTAGATTTTAGTTTTGTAAATTGTGATATTTATATGTTTCTGTTATATATATATATATATATATAAGTAATAAGTTAGTGTAAAGCTCAGAGTTGGGTCAGATGAAGAAAAGAGGGTTTATTTCCATGCTGCCAATTTCTTGAATTATAATAATAAGACTTTTGCGTTATGCTTTGTTAACGATAGTAACTTCATTCGTCATCTGAAAGTAATGAAAATTTGTATCTACGAAAACCGAGTGTTACGTATTAGAATTTTAAATGGTCTGAAATTGAGTTAACTGATAATTTAGATTTAGTAGTTAAATTGTATTTTAAATTTAGTATTTAAATATATGCCGATATGTAGTCAATTTATGATATTTGCCAACAAAATTGATATACAGTTTTCTTTTTTAACACAAATACCTTTTAATATACACACAACAATACAATTTATAATAACAATAATTATAAATAGTTATTACAAACAATGATTTACAGACAAATATCTCTCAAACTTACAAGCAATATAAAGTTTTCTTTCTAGTCTGGAACCTCCTTGATATCTTATCGAGGGTTCATTATTAGCGAGTTGATATAAGTACGATTCGCTTAACGGGAAGTTAGCTAGCCCTGTAGTCTTCACTGTTCATAAGCGTATTAGAGATTGGGTTTCCACCGATGACGTTAGGTAATTTTTTCGTAAAAATACTAATTTCCGATGAGAATTCACTGAAGTTAAATGAGTTGTAATGCTCGAACTTTGTAAAGATTCCTGGTCAAATATCTGAAGTTTTCCGATTGGTAAGCGTTATAACAATCACAGTTATAGCTTCCGAAGTTTTATAGCACACTGATTATAGCGAACTAATAATAGCTACTCTCTCTGACGTGTCGCGTTGGTTATATTTATAGCCGTGGGAAGGTTTTCTAAAAAATTCAGATTACGTAACAATACAAGTTAAGTATTTACGTACACACATAAATGATTTATTCTTACTCTCGAGAATCTTCTACAACTTTGGAGAATAGGAGGGAGTTTCGCAATACA